CTTCCCTATGCCCACCCTGGTGCTGACAGATTGAAGAAACCCCGACCCCTCTGCGGCCTGAGAATATATTCTAAGCGTAGCTCTAGCCAAATAGCAGACCCGTGATTATGAAGCAATGTGGTTCTCAGGCCACTCTGACTTACATGCAGGAAACAGAACAACAATATCCACAGTGGTTCTTTTGCTGTATCCTATCTGCTACAAGGGGATTCTGACACCACCTTTACGTTCCTCCCGGGCAATCCTGAGAGATATGTATGCCAAGATCTAGTCCTCTTGGCGACTACCACTTTCTTTCTTGTTTTCTCTGACTGGCAATGATACTGTCCTCTCATTGCTGGCAACCTGGAAGTGCCACCCATGACCTTGAAACCTGCTGAGGGCCCACACTTGCTGGAGCAAGTTTGAACCCACCAACATTAATGTCTGTGCCAGGGGCACTAGTGACTGCATTGAAGGGACGAAGGTGAAGTGCTATCTCCATTGCTGGCAATGATGCTTTTTGGGGGTTTAATTGTGTCCCCCAAAAGATATCACATCTTAACCCCTCGTACCTGTGAATGTGACCTTATTTGAAGATAGGGTCTTTGTGGATGTGTCTAAGATATAAATTAAGACAAAGTGATACTGGAATGGAGTGGGCCCTCAATCCCATATGACTGTTGTCCTTATAAGATAGACACGTGGGGAGAGCACCAGGTGAAGACAGCGGCAGAGTTGGAATGATGCATGCAGAAACTGAGCATTGCTGGCAGGAACCAGAAGCTGGCAGGGAGGCATGAAGACTGCCCGGTGCCAGCCCTGCCAGCTGCTGCATGGCCTGCGCCACCCCCCCAACCCCCCCACCTCCAGCATTACAGAGAAATGCTCTTCCTGCTTTTATTTGGTCCTTTATTGCCCCACCCCCCTTTCCCTAGGATTCAGGTTCACACTCATGGGGGCCAGGCCAAGGTGACATCTTATGAGTGGTGACACCCGCTGAACCAAAACAGCTCATGTCCTGAGCTTCCCGGTCACCTCAAAGCCAGCATGGAGCTGTCTCTCAGAGATGAGCTCTCCCCTCAGCAGCCTCAGCTGTGCCCCAGGGTTAACATGTAAACTTACAAGTCGTGTTGAGCTTTTTACACTTGCATGTTACTAATTAGAAATTAATTTCTCCTGTGAAGAAAACATATACCCACAACAGCTCTTAGCCCACAGAGAAGTTGAGGGTCAGGAAAAATCAGGAATCAAAATCTGTAAAAGAAAACAGAAACTTCAATTTAGCTCAGGGCTGATTGCGCTTAGGCCTCTCTGGTCCTCACCCTGCCCACCCTGGGCTAGAGCCTTCCCAGGAAGGAGGGTATAGGAAAGTGCCATAGCATTGACCCCACCCCCACCCTCACCCCCCAGCTAGGCTCCCTGCACATCTGTCCACTTTACCTCATGGTCTCAGCTTGTACGCCCCACAGTATCCCTCAAAGGCAAGACAGGCCTCAGATATGTGGACAGAGTGGACTTGGGAGTGAGGGTCAAGGTTAGCAAAGCTGGGGCTCTCCCGGATTGTTCTCATAACAGGGACCCTGGGTTAGAGGACATTTGAGGGTCCTCACTGGCATCACAGTGTCTACAGCTCGCCTTGGGTGATAATCATGGCCAGGAGGGTGGAGATGGGCAGGAACAGGGAGCTGGCCTTATTGATTGGGCTGGGGTCCAGAGCAGGTGAAGAGAGCTGGAGACAGGAAGTGTTGATCCCAATTTAAGCATCCTTTCCAAACCTCGCTGATTGAGCATTATCCCCTTAAAGACCTCAGGCAAATTCCAGGAAAGCCAGCAGCCTCCTTTATGGCGATGCTGTGACACAGGGAATTCCACAGCAGCAGCCACACCATGGCTCCAAGGGCAGCTGCTCACCAAGCCTTTTCCACATTATGTTCTGAGTGGTTTCCCTCAGCTAGAACATTCCACTCAGTGAGCTTAGGACAAAGGCAGGGGCCACACTGGCTGAAGAGACCCTGGAAAAGGAATCGATGATGATAAGCTCTCTATGATTCCTCCTGTTTCTCTTTTTTTTTTCTTGCTTTGATTATCCTCCTCCAGAGACACTAGCTACCCAGAGAGAAAGGCCCGACGGAACAACAAACCCTCCCTCGTGCCAAAAGAGAAAAGCAGGCACATGTCTCCAGCAGGGCCCACTTGCTGTTTGCATCTGTGATGCATCCTGTCATTTCAGAACAGCTTTTTCCTGAAACAGTTCCCCTCAGCCCCTTTCTCTAGCCATTTCTTCTCAAATTTTCTGTTCACTGTTTAAATTGGGGCAGGGTGGGGCAGTGGCAGGGGAGGGGAGAAGAAGGAAAGATGAAACTGTAACCCAAAACAGGAGGCGTTTCTGGTAAAATTTTCTTCACTGTCATGACCTGTCTTTAGGGGAAAGAAATCACCATTTTGTGCAAATGCAATCGGCTTCCCCACGCTTGACAGTGAAGAGCAACTTAAGGTGCAGGTAAACCTTTGCACTGGTTTCTAACAATAGCCTTTTAAATCAATCCGCCACCCAAAGTTTGACTGGGGCCCTCCTCCCTTGTCCTCCCTCCCCTCACCCCCAGGATGGGGCTGAGAGGTACTGTCTGCTAAGTTCCTTGTAAATTGGCCTTTCTGTGATGGTCTCTATAAAAAGGACCTTGGGTTGAAGGACAAGGGAGGGTCCCCACTCACATGACAGCTTCTAAAGCTCCCCCTGCCCTGTGCCTCCAAGTCTTGGTGGTTCCAGGAATCTTCACGTTCTTCTGCCTCAGGGCCAGTGACTTACCATTGCCACCGGCACCTTCCCCAGAATGAAGACTGCTTTGTCCAGGTGTCTTTGTTTGGATGTCTATGTCCCAGGGGAATGATATTCATCCCAAAGTCCTGCCAGCTTTCTCCCCAGGGGGCTCAAGGATTCTCATGCAAATAGCCTGTCCTGCTAGATCAGAGCTCCCAGTGGATGAGCAGGTTCACCTCCCAGCTCTCTGCTCTGGGCTGGAGAAGGGGAGATATTTATAAGCTACTGAATCTTCCTGGATCCCAGTCATAAACTCTCCCGGATGACACAGTTATGTAGTAACCCACATAGCTAAGCAATTGTATGGTGTGTATAAAAGAATTGAAAAAAATTTTCAACTGTCCTCAAAAGGTTGTGGAGAGATAACAAATGAATTTCTCTTTATAGTTCCTAACACCTGTTCTCTCCCCAAGGCAGTGAGGCACCTGATTCCTCACGGTAAGTGGTCAACTAGAATTGCGGAGAGCCTCTCTCTGGTCTTAGCCTCACACCCTGTCTGGGAGGTGCCGGTTAAGAGTGGGAGAGAGCTGATGGGATTACAAGGCTGGGAATAAAAACCTCTCCTGAACCTAAACTCACTGATTTCTTAGTTTTATGAAACAGTGTTCTTTTTTTAAAGGGCAAGTATATAGGAAATAACCCCAAGGCCAAAATTCAAACCAACTGTTCCATGCAATGGCCAACAGATTATTAGCAAAACTCCAGCCTCAACTGATATAGCAACTAGGGTTTCTGGGTGTCATGCAAGTAGCACACAAACATGAAGCTCAAGATGATTCAGAAAAATATTAATATCTGTATATACGTAACATTACATATCCTATATAATAAAAGCCCAATATGCAAATCGACCGAATGGTGGAACTACTGGTCCAATGACTGGTGGCTATGATGCGCACTGACCACCAGGGGGCAGATGCTCAATGCAGGAGCTGCCCCTATCCTGTAGGCCCCAGGCCAGCCTAGGTGGGTGTCAGCGGGGGTGGGGAGACCCCAATTGCCCCACCAGTCACCCCACAGATCAGCCCTGATCGCCAGCCAGGCCTAAGGACTCTATCCGTGCATGAATTTCGTGCACTGGGCCTCTAGTTATTAAATAATATTTAATAAATAGTAATACATAATATTATTGCACTTTAAAAATATCCAACATATAGAAATTATATATATGTACATGCTTCTTCATATATATGTATGTTTGCTAATAAGCCCTCAGCAAGGATCATGAAGTCAGGTGTCAGGTTTACAATTGAGCAGTCACTCTCTAAGTCGGAGCACAGAAGAGATTCCCAGATTGGGCGGTTCCCTGGGATAGTTTTCCTTTTCCCAGATCCAGTAGCTGCAGAGACTCATGGGCACTTAGGGACCCTGCATAGTGGAGAAGGCAGCTGCAGAACAGACACGGGGTATTGAAGGAGGTGGCAGGAGCAAGGTCAAAAGTAACACCCGTGACCTGGTGGATGGAAAAGAGGGTAGATTCTGGATTCCAAGCACCACCCCTGGAGTGGACCTGAGACTCCATCTTCAGCTCACTCCATTGCGACCACATGCAGGCTGGGCAGGGGATTCTGTGACCTCAGCCCCAGTAGCAGGAGTCTGGGATAAAAGCCAGGCTTGTCCCAAAGGACCAGTCAACTTCCATCCTCAGAACTGTTGCACTTTCCTTGCCGAGAGCTGCTAATGGGTATTTGATGGCTGTTGTTTTTGCAGCAAGAATCAGGACAGCAACAACAATAAGATTTCAACATCGACCTAGAGATTGTGCTCTTCACGGGACAAGACAAAGATGTAAAGCTCCATGTTGCTGGGCTCGGTACCCGAATGTTAAGGACACACATGAAGGGCTTGGGAAAGGCACAAAGATTCATGAAGTCCAGGGTAGGTGATAAGAAGACTAAGAATTTTGTGTTGGTTGGATTTTTAAAATTTATTTTTTGTCCATTTGGGGGGCATTTTGTGAAAGAGTAAATCTGGCGGCAGAATCTGAAGGTGAGTAAGACTGGATGGGATTTGAATTCCATAATTACGACTCTAATTTCTGCAGTCAGCTCAAGGCTCTGTTGCCTGCTCTTGCACACACGCTCCCCGCC